CCAACCCTTAAACTCTATGATTCTATTGTCATCAGAGGGTCTGTGGGTGGGGAAGGCCTTACCTGAAGGCAGTTCTGCACCTTCCCTCAATGTCTCCAGGTAACTGGAAGGCCAAGGACAGTTGCATCACTATGACTGTGACTTCTCTTATGTCTCGTGAAAAGGACATCTGGACTCTCAGGTCCAGAAGTCATAGTCAGGAGCCAAGTATGTCAGAGATCTGTGCTAGCCAGGAATTCCCAGGTACCCAGTCAGTCACTGTTCCTTTCGTGTGTCAAAACCCCCAGGATTTAGTCCGACCCTCAGTCTGAAGACTGGATTTACAGATGTAATGATGAGAACACTGAGCTAGCACAGAGCCTCTCTGGAAACAAAAACAAAGGTCTGAGAGACATGGACATGCACTTGACTGAAAGCTGCCTCAAGTCAAAGCCTGTCCACAACCTCCTCTTTCCAGTCTCCCTGTGTTTTGCTTTTTGTACTGGAACTCTTCAGAAGAGGATACTTATCAGAAAAACCAACTCCACAACAGCACTTTAGACATACATTCCTTCAAAGAGAGTAAAAAACCTGTTTTTGAAGCTCAGTGCACTCAGTGGAAGGAAAAAACACCACAAAGCTGAAGATAACACCACCCTGTAGATCTGTCTTGCTACAGATTTCATCATGCAGCAGCACTTTTCTTGGCACAATGAGAATCTGCTCAGTCTAATCAAATAGCGTAATTTACTACTTACCTTAGAAGGTGCAGAAAATTATACTAATAAAAACCTGTGTGATGAAACTTGGATGAAAGAGGAAGCCACAACGGCATTTTCCACATCACAAAATACTTCTGACTATATTTACACCCCCCTCAGAATCTGAAATCCTGACACAAACAGTACAGTTCCTAGTTGAGACAGATAACCAAAGCATAATCCTAAAACTCTGTGCACACAACTCTATAGAAACCTAAGCAAGTTGTTTTTCCGAGGACAAAAAGAAACTATTTTGCCAAGATAAAAAGACGACAAGGAGCCTGAGCCAAGAGTATTCTCTGTGTGCCCTCAAGTGGAAACAAGCAGCTATTGCGAGGCAAAGAGAGAACCAGTTCCTACCACTCCGTTGACAGAGAGCAGCTGGTCTCCACGCTTCAGGCCTCCGTGTCTGTCAGCGATACCTCCGGGGATAATTCGAGAGATGTAGATTGGGGAATTTTGTTCTTTGCCTCCCATAATGTTGAATCCAAGACCTTCTTCAGTTTTGGGTAGTTCAACCACTCTGGGATGGGAATGACCTTCACTAGCAGCAAATGCAGCGACTGTGGCCTGTGAGAAATGAGATTTTCTTATTTATAAATTAAATACAGGCCCTTCAGCTAGACACAGCGAGCAGGCTGGAAATGTATTTCATCTCAAAGTACTTAAATGTTAAGACATGGAGATTAATTACCTCATGCCAACACTAGCATGAAAAATTCAGAATGCCAAGAATAAAATTCAAACGGAAGAAATTTAAAAATAACAAGTCTTTGGTTACACCTTATAATAACCTGCCAAGCTCATCCGTTTTATCAGATGTCTAGATAACATCCTCCTGAATTTTATATAATCTTCTTCTGCTTCTATATTAGATGCAAGTTATAGTTGGCTTTTACCTTTGCTGTTGCATTAGCTCTAACTTCTGGGCTACTGCTGATATCCACTGTTTCATATACATGTTCATACACCTGTAGAGACAAAACAGTTTCAGTATGAGGAAAACAGGTATTTTCCTGCTTAAGTAATAGAATAAAATAACAGGTACCACTCAAACACATGTACCTTAAAAATACACACCTCTAGTGAGTTATTCCCTGATTCACTACAAGGTGTCAAGGGACAATCTATGAAGAATTCATGAAGAAACAATTTTCTTGGCATCTTGATTGCTCAGCTAACACATGCATGGCTAGGTCTCAGCCTCAATCTTCCCTCCTTCCACAGCAGTCAGACCTCACCGTGGCTTTAGGAGTGTTTCTGGCTAGGCTCACACTCCTGGCTGGGGGCATAGACGACTATTTTCTCTTGTTTGATTCAACCCAGAACTCTTACACGCAAAAATCACTCATGGACAGCCCTTCAAAGCTCTCATGACAACCCACCCCTCCCTGCAAACCCTCAGATTTTCCTGCAACTGTGGCAACTAATCGAATACATTAGGACCAGTGTGGAAAACACAGAGGCAATGAGAACACTCATGCTAAGGAGGTGCTTGCTGAAGGCTAAGCCACATCCTGACATCTGCTGCCAACCACTGGGACTTGCTCAGCAGCACACACACTGTACTCAACAGGGGGAAAACATTCAGGTGACACCTGTGCCTACAAATAGCTTTTGAACCATTTCAGATGTTATCACCAGTGTAATAGGAAGGCACATTCAAACCCTCAAAATCTCTGCTAGAGTACCTGGGATGAAGGTGAGGTGGCACAAGAGTCCACCTAAAGGTGATGTGGATTTGGCTTAAAAGTAACACAGGCAATTGGTGCCTTGTCTGTACACTCCAAGAGGGTAACAAGCAAGGACAGACTCTCAAAATAATCTTAAAACAGTTATTTGCCCCTGAGCCATTATTTTATACACCTGTGCTGTCCCAAATGACTTCCTTTAGAACTTGTTTAATAGCAAGTCTTGTTCTTTTAAGCTCTGTAAATCAAATCCAGCTCTTACCAAGCACACAATCAGCTTACAACACTGAGCACAAAAAGGAAAAATCATACTGGTCTTTAACTCAAGGTAACTGCTTGTGTCGAGACAACTCACCTCTCTCACAGCATTGCAGAACTCACTTTGAAGGACCCTCTGCAATGCCTGGAGCTTTTGTGGTGGCACCTCCCCACTTCTCTGTAATTTTTCCAGCAATTCAATTGCTCTGCAGATGTCTACAAAAAAACAAAGCACTAGTGATGAGGAATGCCTGAGGAAATTTCAGGTATGTTTGGGTTATTTTCCTTAAGTTAATGGAGCAGTCTGTGTGCACACTTGTACACACTTCACACATTAGTTTCATCACTACCACAAAACTGTATATTTACAAAATGCTACAATAAAACACTGCACTTTCAGACTATTTTAAGTCAACCACAGCAACCCAACCTTGTAACACATCTGGAGTTATCACTGTCATATGCATATGACAACGACAATCCACTTTTTCCTCAAAGTTTGAATCAGACTGAAATATTTCACTGAGATATAGATACACTACCAACATTTCACATGCATAATTCACCTACTGCATGGACAGTGTTTTGTTAACACCAGCCAGAATATTGTCAAATATGCTGCCTTAACATTCCTTTTAGATCCAAAAATTAGTTCACTGAGGTATACCCAATACTTCCCCTGTAACAGGGCTGAGAACTATCTGGCCTATTTTCCCCCTGCAAAGTGCTATAAAAGCAACAAAACTCCTTTTGATATTCTCAGCTGAGAGACAATATCTCTGTAGTCTACAATCCTCGACCCTAAACCTCTTTGTTTCAGTTCCTTGAAATTTGTTCCTAAGAGCTCATGTCATCCATACTCCCATAAATGCTGCTTTGTGAAACTGAAGTCCGTGAAGGATTTGATTCCAGACCAGCATGACTCAAGACAGGCATCAAATGCAATGTGACATGCTCTTGGCAGCTCTACAAGAGCAGAACACATTCACATCCCTCATTTGTATTTCTGAAGTGTTACATCAGTGATGATTCTGAAACACGTAACTTCGTGAGCAGAAGTAGAACATTGTCTCAGAAAAGCATCACTTTCGTTACCACAGAGGCAAAGCAGCAGTGATTAATCTACTGTATAAATAATGCACAGATTATTTTAGGAAGGGATGAAGTCTGGGACACTTGATGTCCCAAGTGCATCACTTCCTTTGTTCTGTAATTAACCTTTAGGCACTCATTTTTCATGGGAGTGCACATTACTCTGTGGCACCACATCAGCTCAGAAGACCTGCAGAGCCATGAACTTCTCCTAAAATGCAAGTGTAGAAAGAGAGAACTTGCAGAACAGGATGAGAAGGCAGTGGGTGCATGTCCTGAAAGGCACCAGCAAGACACAGCCCACGGTGATGTTCTGTCCACTGACACCTCTTACCAATTGCTCATTGGGATCAGGTGATGCAGCTGATTAAGGTATAACTTAGCCCCACACACTGGTCCATCCATGGGCTAGAAACAAATCCTTCATGGAAAAGAGCACTCAAATATTACCACTGCAGCCACAAGTTGTTTCAGACAAGAGTTAAGGTTTCTGTGTGCCGTGAGAACTTAGTGTTTTCTGGCAAGCATTGCCAAGCTGTACAAAAGCATCAGTTAGCTAAAGCAACACAACATCAAACCCTACGCTACCTGTTACAACCCCAAGCTCTACAGAAAACATATGTCACACAGATATGCATGTTTGATTAGGATACTGCAAGAAATTTTAGACAGTGATAGCAATCTATTGACCCAAGGAGCTGCTGTACAAATGAAGACTCCAGAAATCCATAGGCATATTTCCCTTTTTTTTTTTACCTTCATGCTTTGTCAAGATATTAGATATATTTCCTACCTGGATCTCCTAACAGACAGAACATCTCACAACACAGCATTTTACACCCTGATGTAAAATTGGCTGTCTTTCATAAAGTGCAGACTAAGAACACAGAATCAGCTTTTCAACCAGTGATTAGGATACACTGAACTGGATTCCTTTTAGATGACACTAAAGCAGAGATGCACTTTTAAATAAAAAAGGCTTTCTGATCAAAGGACCAATCTGTTGCTATAAAGTAAAAACCCAGAGCAGTCAAACACAGCATGATGAAAGCTGATGAAAACTCATCATCAGGTTATCTGCAGCCAATCCCCCACATTAGCAGAGGTTACTTATTTCTGTAAATAAAGCTCTTGCTTTTGTAGATCCATTGTAAGGTGCTCCCTTTCTCTTCTTTCCTTAAAAAGACTAACATGCCAGAAGACTAAATAGCTCCTTTGTTCCACTGATCCCTGAGTAACTCTAGTTTTGTTTGTTTTCATGGACAGAGCATAGTGGCAGGGTAATGAGGTGAAGAAGGATAGGGCCTGAGGTTTAACTCTGTAGGCCTTCCAAGAGCAACTAATCCACTGCCAAAGCAGCTGCCCTAATTAACAAGCTTTGGAGTGGGTAGACAAGCTGCAGAGTGGGAAGCAGAGACCTTACATAAGTCACTATTTACAGGCCAACTCTCACAGATGAAAAGTGGTTCATTTGTGGAATGGGAAGCAGGGTCAGCAAAAACAGAAAAACTCAATCCAGCCCTGTGAGCACAGGTCATTGTCTCAATGGGAACAGCAGTGGGAAAACAGTCCATCCCACTGCCTAAACTCCACTTTCAGCAATTCCTTTGCAACCCCAGGATTCCTAGTTATCAGTAATCTTTTCCCATTTAAATTCCATCTTCTGATGCCTGTCCTGAATGCACACCAGTTAACCAGCCACATGTACCGTTACACAAGGATGTGCTCACTGAGCTCGCATGGGACTGAAGGAAACTCAACTGCTGAACTAAACTAAAGGAAAATTATCACTATTTCATAAGAGCCTGGGATAAATGTCACAAATATACTACAGAAACATACCCAACTAAGCTTTGTATCAGTTTTGCTCCAAATTCCAGTTACACAGGTAACAGCAATGCAAAGTGTGCTCAGTTCTGGGCCCCTCAGGTCAGGAGGGACATTGAGGGGCTGGAGCAGGTCCAGAACAGAGCAACGAGGCTGGGGAAGGGACTGGAGCACAAGTGGCATGAGGAGAGGCTGAGGGAGCTGGGGGTGTTCAGCCTGGAGAAGAGGAGGCTCAGGGGAGACCTCAGCACCCTCTGCAACTCCCTGACAGGAGGTTGGAGTCAGGTGGGGGTTGGTCTCTTCTCCCAGGCAACAGCAGCAGGACAAGAGGGCACAGACTCAAGCTCTGCCAGGGGAGGGTTAGGTTGGACATTAGGAAGAGATTTTTTATGGAGAGAGTGATCAGACATTGGATTCGCCATCCCTGGAGGGTTTCAAGCTGAGACTGGATGTGGCACTTAGTGCCATGGTCTAGCAACCACGGTAGGGTTGGACTTGTTGATCTTGGAGGTCTTTCCAACCCAGTTGATTCTATGATCCAAATTAAGCCTATGCACCGGAAAAACGGGATGGAAACACAAATGTGAAGGGGTGACAGGGCTGAGCAGAACCACGGACAAGTGTGGAGAGCTCCCCGCATATGTCAGCTCTTAAGACAAGTAAATTACGACGGCTAACGCACAGCTGTCAGACCGGACTGAGCGCTAAGAACTCTGCCGCGCTCACGATTACGTTTCCCCACGAGAGACGCAGCAGCACAACCGGCAGCAGCGCAGACACAGGCACACAGGGCGCGGAGCGAGCGCGTCTATCGACACCCGCG